GTCATTCATGTCAGTGAATGTACTTTGAATTTACCCTCTGCATGTGTTAAGTAAATAAAGTTGCCTTGCCTTGAATGAAATTCATGCAACTCTTAATATTAGTAGTGTGTTTTTAAGTGGCGATGGAGATTATTTGTTGACCCTGCTTTAAAGGATATTTTGCCTTTACAAATGGTGCGCTTTATCACTGCCTGGGTTTTGGTTGAAGTGCATCCAAATGCTGCTGCGTTTTCGCGTTTGGCTCATTTTCCATCCGAAAAACACGTTGTCTATCTGTCCAGTACCACTTGTTATGACTTCTCTCTCGCGTATTCCGTTAAGACCCACCCCATCTCACTCCTCGTGCTGAAACCTACCAATCAGAGTAGGGGCGGGTCTTCACAGAATACGTTTGGGGAACAAAATCAAGCTTTTTAAAAGGCGAGTGAATTTTGGCAGGCAGTGAGTGCGGACCAACTTTGATTGAACGATAAGAAGAACGGCTCTCACCAAGTACGACTCGGTTCCCCTCGTTCGTACCAAAGAGCCGTTCAAAAGAATCGGCTCGTTCGCGACCGACACATCACTACTGCCCAGTCCCGGGTGCTGCCCCAAGGCCTGTGTCCAGCCATTTCCCCCCCCACTCATCCATATATTAACAGATTTTGACCAATTTTGTTGCATTTTTCTCCTCTCCTCTCCCTGAACGAATGGCAAACGCGACCCGCCATCGGAGGGCCTCCGCCGGCCCGGCCTCGTGCCGGTGCTCTGGTGAACTCCGAACTGCGGGTTCGACACTGATGGCCGGGAGGGTGTGCTGCGTGGGGTGGGGGACTTCCCCCCAACTCTGCGTGTCTCTGCCCCTCCCGGGCCGGCCGATATGAAGCGTGACCAAGATGCACCGTCTGACTCAAGGGTCCCACCACGGGTCCTGCAGCGGGGTGGAGGTTCCAGGCTGGAACCTCCCCACCTCCGCCGCGGTGCACCCGGCAAACACAGTTGTTTCTCGAACCCTCCACTGTCGTCTAGCAGCCTTCGTCCAACCTGGTCTCACCAGAATGCGTGACTCCACCACGACTCCTTAACACTGCATTGCGTGGTGGAGTTACGAACTTTGCTACATTTACGTGTCTGCACCACGCAAACAACCCCAATGTAAAGTGAATGAGGCTCCTTTGTCGTGGTGCACACACGCATTTCTACAACGTCCAGCAGTGAGCTTTTATTCTATAAAACGTTTTTAAAATCTACTGTATAGCTTGTAGTAACTCACGGGAGGCTTCTTTTATTTTATTTGTATTCATAATAAAAAGAAAATTTCGTCAGAATGTATTATGGTGCATTATTCACCAATGTTTGTTCTCAAAAAACAGTGCATTGTGTGAAATACAACTGTGATTTTTATTAAATGAGTTAGTTTTTAAGGAAGGCCAGAGCTTCAGCTGTGTCAAAGAGATTGTTCCCTTTAGTTAACGTTATTTAAAAGATAATTATATTCCTATTTGATCAAGTCCCCTTTATTGTATTACGCAGAGCAATGTGAGCGTCCATTCCCATTGGATAACGGAGGATTTTACACCCGGAAGTAAGTATTCTCCTTACTGTCGATTGATTTTACAGTGATATCTGCACTACTCATCGACTCAAAAACACCAGATTATCCTTGTTAATTACACAACATTGATTGGTTTAAATTGTGTACAATGCTTTTGGATTTTCCCTTTCGATTCGGAGAAACAAATATTTTTTCATAGTGTGTGGATGGCAGAAGACACTACACTACCCAGAATCCTCAGCTATTGTTCCGCTTTGCCTCAAGCTCTGTGATTGGTTGACCTCCAACTGCATTCCATATGAAAAAAACGTTTTGTAAAAGATCAAATCATACTTTATTCAGCAGTGCTTGCTTTACTCTTTGAAAGTCATCACATGAATGCATTGTAATAAATGGTTCGGCTGCATTAAATATTACACATCTGTCGTAGTTCTTTATTTATCTACAGAGATCGGGACTCAGAATAGACCGGAAACTATTCTTTTACCGTTCGGTTTTAATTTCACAATAAAGTTAGTAGTAATAATTTGTTTTGATATTATTGTTTTTTATTAACTACTAGACCGCTGGGTCATGTTAAGACCATCTTTTCTGTGTTGCTGTGGGTTTTTTACATCGCTTTTGTGTTACAAATATCAAAACAATAACAGAATATATCCGTCGTAAACTAAACCAGAAACAGCAGTATATTTTATTTTGTTAACACTGTAAACTTGACAGCTTTTTAACCCGCACCTCCTACTGGTTAAAGCACGTTATTACACGTTTAGAGTAATGCAATGCAGGTAGATTGGGTTGCTTTTTATTGACTGTTTTAAAATGCCTTTTTCTTAATGTCTTTCATTTGGTTTGTTTTGGAACTTGACAATCAACTTTCCTGCAATGTTAACTATGTTGAAGCACTTATTTTAACTGATATTATACATATTAATTATACTCTTATAAGATGTATGTAGATAGTATAAGAAATGTGCAGAATATGTTTAATGGTGGAGGTACACAGATATCGATAGATGTCTTGTAATGCACTGTTGATGAACCTGTGACCCAAGTTTTTCATTCATTGCATAACTACACCGTAGTTGTGTATATGATATGTCAATAAACCTTAGAAAATCTTGAAATCTTGAAAGGGATGTGCAAAATAGCCATTATATACAGTTTTTAATTAACTATTAGTAGAGAATAACGAGTAATGAATATACTTTATAGGGATCTGCAGATACATATTTAGTCTACTCAAGCACCCACTACCAAATATCTCGCCTGATTGTTGGCACTTGACAATCACCTTCACTGAATTTTACTCAGGTGTAACTAAAGTCTGATTTAAGGGTTGTTTATATTTCACATCATTAATCCAAATCTGTAAAGTAACTAAAATAAATGTAGTGGAGTAAAAATACCAGGTTAACCTTAAAGAAAGCCCTCAGGATTATAAAAGACACGTTCTAAGCACATGGTGTAGTCCCATAGCTGAGGATTCTGGGTAGTGTAGTGTGTTCTTCAAATATTAGTTTCTCCGAATCGAAAGGGGAAAATACAAAAGCATTGCACACAATTTAAACCAATCAATGTTGTGTAATTAACAAGAGGATAATCTGGTGTTTTTGAGTTGATGAGTAGTGCAGATATCACTGTAAATAAAATCAATCGACAGTAAGGAGAATACTTACTTCCGGGTGTAAAATCCTCCGTTATCCAATGGGAATGGACGCTCAGCTCTCTGCGTCCGTAATACAATAGACGGGACATGATCAAATAGGAATATAATTATCTTTTAAATAACGTTAACTAAAGGGAACAATCTCTTTGACACAGCTGAAGCTCTGGCCTTCCTTAAAAACGAACTAATTTAATAAAAATCACAGTTGTATTACTTACAATACATTGTTTTTTGAGAACAAACATTGGTGAATAATGCACCATAATACATTCTGACGAAAAATAAAAATGATTATGAATACAAATAAAATAAAAGAAGCCTCCTGTGAGTTACTACAAGCTATAAAGTAGATTTTAAAAACGTTTTATAGAATAAAAGCTCACTGCTGGACGTTGTAGAAATGCGTGTGTGCACCACGACAAAGGAGCCTCATTCACTTTACATTGGGGTTGTTTGCGTGGTGCAGACACGTAAATGTAGCAAAGTTCGTGACTCCACCACGCAATGCAGTGTTAAGGAGTCGTGGTGGAGTCACGCATTCTGGTGAGATCAGGTTGCACACACACAATAGACACTTCAGTGCTGATGTCAAGAAAATCTAATTTAGATTAAGTATTTCCTGTTTTGTGCAGACAATGGCTCAAGTGCTAAAAGAGTTTATCCCCTGAAAGTTGAAATGGAGAGGAATATTTCTGCAAAGTTTAGCAGAACTGTTAATTCAATTTCTAAATATCGAATCATTAAGAATAGATAATGGGAAACATTTAAAAAAAATTTGAATGTTCAAGATTTGTTAGAACCACGCGGTGTCACACAAATCTGGTCTATCGCTTATAAACCTGAAACTATGGTGTTGCTGAAAAAGCGCTTAGAAATGAAATGTATTATTATTATTATTAAAACTGAGGGAGAAGACACCGTAGTGCAGGTAAATAAAAAGAATACTGTTGAGCTTAACACATTTTGCCTAAGTACACTGCAAACAGATAAGAAAGACAAATAATGGCCCTGCCACAGACTGCACTAGCTAATACATTTGGGGGGCTGGTAATCCTGGTCCAAGGAAGGGGTTTGGGGTCTCAATCTAGTGGGGAAAGCCCTACTGGGTGCCAATATGGCCAAGCAAGGATACCTTCGTGAAGAGAGACTGGAGCCTTTGGAGTGGGGAGCTTATGTGCCCGGTGATTGTGTAATTTGTAGAGTTGTTTCCCACAATCCCCAATATAAAAACAAATGTATATCAAAATATGTGTGCAAATATGTATATATATACACAGAATCAAAGACACATGGTTGGCACTATGCCTCAATGATTTCATATAATGAAGAGCCTTCGTGTATAGGTCCTGTTTTCAAGATCTATGATATCATTAATTGCGGTCTCTGCTTTTTCCCCCAATAGAGACATGCAGGGTGGGCATGTATGTCCAAAAGATAAAAGGCCCACGCATTATCCATATTATTAATATTATTCTTCTTATCTACTTCCGACACTTACAGGTTTTACTCCCTATGGTGACGTGCAGATTACTGCTTTAGTCACAGAGGTGGAGACATGTCAAACCTGTCAGGTACCATGCTGTGTGTGTGTGTGTGTGTGTGTGTGTGTGTGTGTGTGTGTGTGTGTGTGTGTGTGTGTGTGTGTGTGTGTGTGTGTGTGTGTGTGTGTGTGTGTGTGTGTGTGTGTGTGTGTGTGTGTGTGTGTGTGTGTGTGTGTGTGTGATGTTAATATGTATTTAAATTGTAAAAAATGCTTCCACAGCATGCAACACAAGTGGGTGTGGTGAATATTTAAATCTCTGTCGGGCACATCGTATTGTCACAGCTCATCACATGGTCACAGCTCTGTTTCAGGTGTGCCAGCCCTCAGGTTCACAGGATAACATCAACGCAGCTCACAGACAGGTTTAACACAGGTCTGAAGTGCGCTAAGACGAAGACACCTGGAGTATTGTTTAACCATCAGGTATTTACTATTATAACTATTGAATGTGGTGTTTGTAATGATGTATTATAATGATTGGGATGTTTGTCAACTTGTATAGTTTAGTAATAAATGTCAAACAACTGTAATATATTTAAAACGAGACAAGAAGTGATGATGCCCACACCGGTTGTTTCCTCCGTAAAAGAGAAGAATATAGAGATTTAACCGGGGAGTGTGACATGTGTTCGCTCTGTTTGGTGATACTGACGTAGGCTTCTGTCACATTCAATTTAAAGCAGGTGATCTAGGTGAAGGCTCTGCATTACAGGTGCTTGACAAATCCATTTTATTTTCTATCATTTAAGTGTGTCTTTTTTCTGCTTGGATTCGGGCTTCTTTTACAAACCAGCATGCCATGACGTGTCAGCGAAACGGCTGGAAGTCTGCCTAATTCAAACCATCTCAGGAGGGGAGGCAAGGCAAGGCAAGGCAAGGCAAGGCAAGGCAAGGCAAGGCAAGGCAAGGCAAGGCAAGGCAAGGCAAGGCAAGGCAAGGCAAGGCAAGGCAAGGCAAGGCAAGGCAAGTTTATTTATATAGCACCTTTCAACACGAGGCAATTCAAGGTGCTTTACAAAAATGAAAGACATTCAGAAAAAGGCATTTAAAAACAGTCATTAAAAAGCAAAGAGAAAAAATAAAATAGAGAAAAAAGTACATGAATAAAAAGCTACAGTGCAGTTTAAGATATGAATAGTTCACACAGAAGTTCCACTTTACTGATGCCTTTCTTTAAAGGGCCCATGTCATGCTTTTCCGGTTATTACCCGTCCCCTTGTGTTATGAAGGTTTTTATGCATGTAAACGGTGTGCAGAGTCAAAACCCTCAAAGTACACCCTGTAGCGAGTAAAACTCTAACACAGAAAATACCTCCCCAAAACGCCTCGTTGGAGATACGTCACTGCCCATTTGAATCTTCCATTTAGTTCCGGGTACGGCATGATGTCATGCGGTACCCGGAACGAAATGGACCAATCCCGAAGAGCTATGGCCACACCCAGCGGCGCTGGCCGCACCCTCTGCCAGCCTAACATTTACTGTTGGAAGCTCTGGTTCAGTTCACAATCGATCCAGTCATGCCACTGCCAAGGACCTGTTTCCTGAAATGTGAGGAGAAATCTGAGCTGTTTGTCCTACCGACGGAAGAACCACGACGAAGTCAGTGGTTGAAATTTCTGTTTAACACTGTTCCTTCAGAGGTTCGAAGAACCGGCATTTCACAGACGAAAGCTTCCAAAACATTGCCCAGTTTGAGGCCGGATATGCACAGCATTTGAAACTGAAGGACGATGCTATTCCTAGTTTGTTTGGACCGTTTGGAGCAGGGGAAGATTCGGGTACACAACCTGTAAGTTTGCATTGTTATTTGTGTATTTATCAAACAAGGTATCTACCACGACTGTTTAAATGTGTAAACGTGTGTTGGACTGCTAGCGTTTCCATATATCAACTCTAATATCAGCAGATGGCCTTACATACATGTATCTCATAGCAGGAGAATGTCCGCATTCACACACGAAATACTCATAGACAGTATACTCCGGGTGATTTACCGTACGGTCAGTCGCGAAACGTAATTACATTATAGCTGACGTTCCTAGCGTGTATGCTACCGAGCTAACCAACGGAGCTAGACATGGGTTTGCTCGGGAAAACACTTGACACAGTGCTTACTGGGCTAACGACGTTGCTAGCGTTTAAATATATCAACTACAATGTCAGCAGATGGCCTTACATGTTTGTCATGGCAGGAGAATGTCTGCATTCACACACGGAATACTCATGCAGTATACTCCGGGTGATTTACCGTACGGTCAGTACATTACAGTTGGCTAGCTAACGAGGCTAGCTATACATGCTAGCGGAAAACATCGTATTCATGCCAGTTACAATGAATGACCGAACGTAGCAGACTACCCGTATAAGATTGCAATTATAAACACGTTATTGCTAGCCTAATATGAACCACTAGCTTTTGTTCATAGTAGTTTTATTACACTACATTATAGTTGTCGTTACACCGTTCATATCGTGTTAGCTACCAAAGTAAACAAAGCTAGGTTAGCATATTAGCTGGCAAGCTTACTGTGTTGATTAGATAGATGGATTAGATAGATCCACACTCCTACCACAACTACTACAAACGAATCTAAAACAACTAAGTTTCTCTAATATTTTGTGATTTGCATTTGATTTCGTCCAGCCAGATCCTGGCGGACAATACATGACGGGACTACCACACTGATGCATCGTCCTAAAAAGCCCCGGCTGCGATAGGCAAGATGCCGACAACGGGGAGGAATGGATGATATACCGTGTATATATGTATATTTATGTTCATTTTGTACATTTCTAAAAATAAAGTTTGATGGAAATACTTAGTAGGCCTATCCTTTCTTCCCTGAATTATTTGCTCCTATAACATATCATTCATATATAGCAAACCATGATTTGATTTCTCATCAAACAGTAGTAGTATATTACAGGTAAAAATAACGTACTCTTCTATAACAACAGTTGTAGGTACAGTTCGGTTAGTTAGCGTATAAAATATACGGCTGTACCGACGCCATTATAAGACTGATGTTCCGAGAGCGAGCCGAAAAAAGCACTGTTAGACATGGGCGGAGCCTCTCTGGTGGTTGACTAATCAGAAAAGAGTGGCCGAGCTGACCAATCGGAGCACACTAGGCTCACAGGGAGGGGGGGGCAAGAGCTCCAACGAGTCGTTTAGTGGAGAGAGTGAATACTGCTGAATACACATACTTGACAGAGATGCTGTATGCGAAACCAATGTGAGTTTGGAAAATTGCACAGTATAAATCTATTTTAGTATACCTCAACAATGTAATTATGATCAGTGGAAATGGCCATGACATGGGCCCTTTAAGGTTTCTCCGAACATGAGCTGTGTGCGCTTGTATGGCACATACGTCCCGAGCAGCATACACAGAGAAAACCAGCCAGGACACAGTCCCCAGACACTGATTCCCTGGGGTTACTAGCCCCAAATGTTCATTAACCAAAAACGAAACACAACCGCTCAGTTTTAATTAAAAGCAGCGGCAAAAAGAAAAGTCTTCAGCCTGGATTTAAAAGTAGTAAGAGTTGCAGCCGACCTGCAGGTTTCTGGGAGTTTGTTCCAGATATTTGGAGCATAATAACTGAACGCTGCTTCTCCATGTTTAGTTCTGACTCTGGGGACAGAAAGCTGACCAGTCCCTGAAGACCTGAGAGTTCTGGATGGTTCATCATTTAGCAGTAGGTCAGACATGTATTTTGAGCCTAAACCATTCAAAGCTTTGTAAACCAGCAGCAGTATTTTGAAATCTATTCTTTGACACACAGGAAGCCAGTGTAAGGACTTCAGAACAGGAGTGATACGTTCTGCCTTGGCTCCAAAAACCATTACCTCAGTTTTATCTTTGTTTAATTGGAGAAAGTTCTGACACATCCAGTCATTGATTTGTTCAATGCACTTACTCAGTGTTTGAATTGGAGCATAATCTCCTGGTGAAATGGTTACGTAGATTTGTGTGTCATCCGCATAGCTATGGTAACTTATTTTGTTGTTTTTCATTATCTGAGCCAGTGGTAGCATGTAGATGTTAAACAGAAGAGGCCCCAAGATGGAGCCTTGAGGTACCCCACATGTCATATTTGTCAACTCAGATGTGTATTTACCTATAGAAACAAAGTTGTTTCTGTCCTTTAAGTAGGATTCAAACCAATTTAGAACTGTTGCCGAAAGTCCCACCCAGTTTTGCAGTCGGTCTAGTAATATGTTGTGGTCAACAGTGTCAAACGCAGCACTGAGATCTAATAATACTAACACTGAAGTTCTGCCACTGTCTGTGTTTAAGTGGATGTCATTGAAGACCTTTACAAGAGCAGTCTCAGTGCTGTGGTTTGGACGAAAGCCTGACTGGAACACATCCAAACAGTTATTTAAATGCAAGAAATTACTCAACTGTTGAAAAACAACCTTTTCAATGATTTTACCTAGAAATGGCAGGTTTGATATGGGCCTGTAATTGTTCATTACTGAAGCATCTAGATTATTCTTTTTTAATAGCGGTTTAATGACTGCAGTTTTCAGGGCCTGTGGAAAAATACCTGAATGAAGAGACTTGTTTACTATATGAAGTAGATCTGAGGCCATGCAATGAAAAACATATTTTTTAAATCCTGTTGGAATAATATCAAGGCAGCAGGAGGAGGATTTCAGAAGTTGAATAATGTCCTCTAGGTTTTTATCATTAATCTGATGGAACTGTGTCATGGTGTTTGAATTGATTTTAGGTGGACACAGGGACAAAACATTTGCTGTACCTGATGCAGAGGCACTGACTGCTTGTCTGATTTTCTGAATGTTGTCAGTGAAGAAGAAGGCAAAGTCATTGCACGCCCTGGTGGATAGAAATTCAGAGGCTACTGACACTGGGGGGTTAGTTAGTCTGTCGACGGTAGCACAACGTTGTTTTTGTTTTTGGTAATGATGTCAGAGAAGAAAGACTGTCGGGCAATTTTCAATTCCAAATTATAAAGGCCAAGTCTCTCTTTATAGATTTCAAAATGAACCTGGAGATTTGTTTTTCGCCACCTACATTCAGCTTTTCGACACTCTCTTTTTTCTGTTCTCACGGTCATGGCCTTTCTCCATGGAGATATTTTCTTGCCAGTCACTTCCTTTACCTTCGTTGGAGCAATGGCATCTATAACATTTTTAATTGTTGAATTAAAATGATCTACTAGCTCATTTACTGAGATGTTAGCAGGGGCAAGTGTGGAAGAAAAATTCTGAGTAAACATTTCCCTAGTATTTTCAGTTAAATATCGCTTTGTGGTTACCTCTTTCTGAACATTTTTGTGAACAGAAATAGAGCTCTCAAAGAAAACACAGGAATGATCAGAGAGTGCAACATCAGTCACCACAACCTTTGAGATATTCAGACCCTTAGAGATAATTAAGTCCAGAGTGTGCCCCTTATTGTGCGTGGGCTCCGCCACATGCTGAGTCAGTCCATAGTTATCAAGAACACAAAACAGTTCTTTAGCCCCTCTGTCCTGGGGGTTGTCAACATGGATGTTAAAATCACCAACAATGACTAGATGGTCAAAGTCAATACACACTATAGACAGCAGTTCAGTGAAGTCATCAAAAAAGCTTGCACAGTATTTGGGTGGTCTATAGATATTTAGGAACAGAGCTCGAGAGGAGCATTTCAGCTGAAGGGCCACATATTCAAAAGAAGCAAAGTCCCCATAAGATGTCTTCCTGCATTGAATGGAATCATTGAACAAAATAGCAACTCCACCCCTTTTCTTATGCATTCTTTCCTGACTCATAAAACTGAAGTTGGGAGGGGTTGATTCGATAAGAACAGCTGCACTGTTATTTTGTTCAATCCAAGTTTCCGTTAAAAACATAAAATCGAGATTGTGCTCAGTGAAAAAAATCATTGATTAAAAATGTTTTTCCTGCCAAAGACCTGACATTTAATAAAGCTAGTTTAAGTTTGTTAAACACACTATCAGTAAGATTTTTTGTGGCAAGCTATGGCTGACGTGGAATCACTTCTAAATTTGATAAACTCACACAAACTTTTGAGCGCTTCCTGTATCTAAGCTGATTCACCGCTCTTAATCTATTACCTATCAACACAGATATCGGCAAAGCTACTGGCAGGCAGGGCCCCGGCATGTCCTGGGAAGAGTTGAGAGTGCCATATGCCCTTGAGCCTGGACCCAACCCATATCAGTTAGAGTTTGCGTTTTGTACACACACATTCTTGGTGTGTACCCGGTACACAGCCCTCCTGTTCCTTGGAATCCTTGTAGCTGCTAACTAGCTGTGAATTAGCATGCCTTTGTCCATTATTTTGCAACACTGGTGAAGTGGTGTCATTCCAACCTGGTCCATTCACTTCCACGTTAACTTCCAACCGTTGCATTTTCATTTCCAGCACGGCCATCTTCTGTAGAAGTTTGTGGAAGTCATCTGTAGAGAACGGAGGCATTTTGCTGCCAAGTAAGCTAAATAGCATGCAGTACCAGGCTTTAGCTGTTGCTAGGCCACGCTACTGTAAGACTGAGGTCGTCGTACAAATATTGAAATATGGCTGAAACCCTCCGTCTATTTATGAAGAATAACTGTCCCAGTGATAAGTTAATGTCCAGGAGCCGCTGCTCAAAGTTTTCAGAAAATAAAAATAGAAAATAAAAAGAAAGCAGAGGCAAGAGCAAGCAGAAAAGCGTCTGCACTGTAGAGGAAGAGGAAGAGGCTTCAGAATGTGAGTTAGCTGTTAAGAATAAAGGTTTATTTTATACTACAGTCAACTATAATGTCATTTTATCCATTGATGACACTTTCTTGGTGTTTTTGTCACATTAGGCGCCTCAGTTCTGTTCTGTTTTGTCTGGGTTAGTGAGGTTAGCAAGTGTCATGTCTGACATGGATAGTTGACCTACTTCTTGTTTACTGGCATCATACGTTCCTCTCACTGAACCTTTTTGTTTCTCCATTCTCATGGTTCAGGAATCATGAATGCTTTATAAATGAATCAATTGCTTCTTGGTTAATGGTCTGTCTTTTTGTTTCTCTACAGATGGCTCTTTGTAATGCAGCAACACTTCAGACTGCTACTCTTGGGTGTGTGTTGGTGTGTGTTCTTTCATATCTGTATTTAAATGGGAATGTTGGAGGTCCTGAAGCCAACCCACTTCCCTCACAACATACAAAGAGGTAAAGTATCCGTGTGTGTGTGTGTGTGTGTGTGTGTGTGTGTGTGTGTGTGTGTGTGTGTGTGTGTGTGTGTGTGTGTGTGTGTGTGTGTGTGTGTGTGTGTGTGTGTGTGTGTGTGGTGTGTGTGCGATTGCGTTTCACATGAGTGCATTTGACATGTGTGTATGAGAGATTTTTACATATGTCTGTGAATGATTTTGGTTTCAGTTGTGTGTGTGTGTGAGCAGGCTCGGATTGGCCATCGGGAGATTCGGGACTTTTCCCGGTGGGCCGCTGCCGTTTGTGGGCTGCTGCATTCGGTGGGCCGCTGGCTCTGGCATAGGTGGGCCGTGGAATATCACAGCGCCACTGCCACCTATCACATATCTGCCCCCCACCGGTGGGGCGCGCCCCACACTTTGAGAAACGCTGACTTAGACTAAAGTTAATTATCAAAACACTCAGAGTCCTTACCTCACTGAGCTGTAGTTATCAGAGCCTCTCAGTCTGACAGTAGATGTTGTGGAAACAGCTCCTTATATCCGTTAGCACAGCTAGCTAACCAGATGCTAACAACAACAATCCCCGGCACCGGTGCACTCTCTCTCTCGCTCGCGCAATCACAGAAAATGCGCTCGTGCCACACACACACACAGCCGAGCTTGAATGACACACAGAGACCCAGAAGTACTTGTACTGTAATGTAGCATATTATTTTCGATGGCGTTATTTTATGATCATATGACAGATGAACAGATCGCCACTGGGCTTTCAACTAAAGACACAGCCACGCAAAAACTGCGGCATGTGTACAGCTCCTTATTGGTACTGCAGTATTTTAAGTGCCGGAGCTGCGTTCCGGTGCGCTCCGGCAGCACTACACCCCTGGTCCTGTTGTCACATGATCTATGACATCACTAATTTAGTTCTCGCCTTTTAATCGCAATAGAGACATGCATGGTTGGCATCTGGACAGCTAATATTAGATATGTTGAAAAAATTAGAGACACTTTGTCCCAATTTAGGTCTTCCACGCATTATGGGTATTATCATATAGTTGGAATGCTGATAACAGCATTCCAACTATAAGTTATGCTACGGACAAAAAGTTTATTATTCCGCCCGCTTATTTTGGCCCTCTTCTCCTCCCACATTGAACATCGCAGAAACTCCGTTCAAACATCAAAACATTCAGCTCGGTCGGGAATCGATGGCTATTACTTTTATCATTCATAACTTTCATAATTCCAGAGATACATCCCATAATACATCACATTTTTAACCATTGAAGTCAATGGAGAAATTCTTCTGACTTCAACAAATCTTCATGCGACTTCAACTGCTAACTGTTCATTCATACTTTCACTCAGAAACCTCATTCCAACTTTAAAATGTTACACATCTTTCTGACATTATTCGTGTAACACAACTTCTAAATCTGATTCTTACTTTTAGAGATATTAAACATGGTTCAGACCTTGGTAAAGAGGCTTTCTTCAGATTTTAACATTAACTAGAGTGCGTGATGTCACAGCTAGAGTGGAGGAAATCTTGAAATTTGCCTTCATATATTTTTTTAAAACTGCCATAATTCCCAAACCCTACATTCCTGAGACATCATTTTTCATGACAAACGTAGGAAAACATCTCGTAGCTTGAAAAATGATAATTAAGCAAAAATAATTAAACAAAATGCCTCTTGAGGGCATGAAGTGACAAAAACTTTCAACATGCCTCCATTAAAGCCCATTGTAATTTCAGGCTGATATTTCCTCACGGTAGCAGCCGCACACCTTTAGTTAAACTGCCAAAAAGGCCACATTATTAACCCGAAAGTACACAAAAATTACACTTCAGATACTAAACTTCCTTGACATGCTTCACGCTTTGAAATTTCACAGATATCTGTTACGGTTCTTCCACAAAACGTTCACATGTAAAAGGTTTATCTCTCATTCAGAACAATGGAAACCTTTGATCTCTGCACACCTCGTTAGCTCAAATATAAACACCTGTGTCATGGAACACGATGATGTCAAAACACACAGGTGTTCGTGTTTGACCTAACGACGTGGTCACTGGAGTTTAACAGACTGTCTGAGCCTATTCTTTTCTGTCTGATGGAGACTTCATACTGACTTCAACATGTTCCACCTATTTTATACATTATTGGTGACACACAGCTGTCGTCGTTAGCTCAAATATAAACACCTGTGTCATGGAACACGATGATGTCACATTGACAGGTTTGGTAACGATGCAGCCATCAACGCATCTAAGCGTATTATGGGGTGTCATCAAATGCCGTTGCCATGGCGACAGACCACTCGCCATGAAGCACGATGTCGCTGTAAGTCCAATGGACACGGTCCGATCGTCCCCCAAACTTTGCTTGTATATCACTGGTCCAGCCCTCAACAGCTCTACGTCAATTATGGGGTTTCTTCAAATGCCGTTGCCATGGCAACACAATGCTCGCCATGAAACACGGTTTTCTCATAACTTCAGTGAAAATGCTCCAAACGGCCCAAAACTTCACAGGTTTGGTAACGATGCAGCCGTCAACGCATCTAACCGTATTATGGGGTGTCATCAAATGCCGTTGACATGGCGACAGACCACTCGCCGTGAAACACGATGTCGCTGTAACTCCAATGGACACAGTCCAATCGTCCCCGAATCTTCACTTGTATATCACCGGTCCATGCCTCAACAGCTCTACGCCAAATCTGAGATCTCACCATGTGCCGTTTCCATGGAAACGCATCCCTCGCCTTAAAACACGATGTTGTCGTGATACCTATGCAAATGGTCTAAAACAGCACCAGACTTCAGATAATGGTTAATGGTCCGGCCCTCAACAGCTCTATGTCAATTATGGGATGTCATCATATGCCGTTTCCATGGAAACGCATCCCTCGCCATGAAACACGATGTTGCTTTAACTCCAATGGACACGGTCCGATCGCCCCCAAACTTCGCTTGTATATCACCGGTCCATGCCTCAACAGCTCTACGCCAAATCTGAGATCTCACCATAGGCTGTTTCCATGGAAACGCATCCCTCGCCTTAAAATACGATGTTGTCATGATACCTATGCAAATGGTCCAAACACCACCAGACTTCAGATGACAGTTAATGGTCCAGTCCTTAACATGTCTATGTGCCATTAGTGAGTTTTCCTCAAAAGCTGCTGCCATGGCAACGCATCCCTTGCAATAAAACACGATATTGCTATAACTCCTGTGAAAATTGTCAAAAAGTGCTAAAACTTCACATGTGTGCCAACAGTCCAGCCGTGAAGACATCTACAGTTTTGAGATTTCTTCAAATGCCGTTGCCATGGTAACACAATGCTCGCCTTGAAACACGGTTTTCTCATAACTTCAGTGAAAATACTCCAATGCACTGAGAAAGGGATGGGAGGATGAATTAAGGGATGCATGAAAGGAGGGAGGGATGAAGGGATGAAAGGATGGGGATTAGGATGAGGAATATGACACAGAAGTCAAACCAGATGTTAACCTCAGGTCTTCCATGTAACCCCTAACTTTACAGGTTGCTAGCCGGGAATCAACTTCCCTCAAAGACGGCATGCACCTGTTCTCCAGGTTCAGAGCAACTCAAAGACTTCTTGCCTCCAGATTCTGAGGAGCTGTTAAAACGCAGAGCAAAGGAGTTGCAACAACACAAAGCCAGGTAGGGAGTGGCTGCTTTCCATTGACTTATTGTTCAGTCGCTCTTTAACCTTAAAACACTTGTTTAATGCGTGCTCTACTAGAGGTGGAAGAAGTACTCAGATCTTGTAGTAAAAGTACCAGAGTGTAGGAATACTCTATTACAAGTATAAGTCCTGCCAATGTTTTAAGCCTTTACCTCATCCTCACTACTAACCATCCTATCTCCCCAACAGGACTGAGTCTGTGTTATCCACACTGCTGTATGCTCCGTCTAACTCTCCCCTGCAGTACCCTATCCAGGGTTTCAAAGTACGACCTATGACCCCCACCTTCATCCCAGGTATGCTACACCGTACAGTATGTCCTTTCATTACTCTCATTGTGACAGAACAGAAGGCTGTGTTTAAAATACAGTAAACAAATATTGATGTATGACTCAGGAACTAGTTAGACAGGAAGGGGATGTTTGGTTTGGTTTGATCACACCCTGATATATTTGCATTACATGTGTTTAGTACAGAGTCAACAAAGCCAGAGGTGAATGAGTGTACTTGTGTAAATGAAGAGTATGAAAGCACATTTCATTTTGATTTCAGGTCTAGAACTGCATGCAGAACAAAGAAGCAACTACACGGTTGGTGTGATCCCACAGATTCAGCTGATCCACAGCTTTTAGAGAAACCTGGGCTAGTGTTTGGCCGGTTCATACAAGATGGCTGCTGGGTGTTTATATAATGTGTATAATATGTATAAAACATGCCACATGTAAAACACATTGATGGTATTACATTATTCAATACTTCATGTAAATGACACATTAGAAATATCATATTTGTCGAATTCAAATTACTTGCAATTATATTCTCATCGATTACGTTGCACAGCAGCCATCTTGGTGTAAACCTTTAGGAGAGGGGCAGAAACCTTACTGCAAATATCTGGTACAGCTAATTGTTTTGTTTGTGAGGGTTCTTGCTTGCCCTATTAAGCCTTTAAGTCAACGTGGCTGTAAAGCTAGATACAAATAAGTGATCCGGCATTGGCCTCTTTATGTGGTGGAGCCACTGGAGTGAAGCGTTGTCAAACTAGAAGCTGAATGGGCGTCCAATCAGGTATTTCGCAGTGGACCAGCTACCATATTGCACTTTTTTTTGTCCACTGTTCTCTAGTTCATCTCTTGGTGAGCCAGATTCCGGCTAATGTACATTACCGGGTGTTCTCCCCCCTTTACCTCCTGGGACAAAACAACCCCCAACCCAACTTTAGGGCATTGGTCTTCAAAACTAAAGTGGTTTCCCACAGAGGGCCAGATAAGCCCGGTTTTCGTTAGACAGTGGAGACAGGGGGAGTCGTTCCCATCCAGGAGTTTGACAAACTGATTTGGGTAAGCTTTGAATAACCTAACGATGCCTCACTAACCCTGAGATAGTCCATACAGACCTGGATTGACCTCTTGGACGTGCGTACCAGAACGAAAGGGCGAAATCAGTCATTGATGGATAACATAGGCAGTTGTACGGCCGAACGACGCAATGTCTGCTTCCTGGTCCAGTGAGAGATGGTCATTACAAAAGAGCAGGACTGATTTGTTTGCTTTTTAACACCGGTCCCAACTCATTTCTCTTGTTCATCGCCTTGGCAAGAGAGGCAGATGCAACCTTCCTCCTTGCTTCCAGGGCATTAGGTGGGTATTCTCAATTCCACCAACCCTATCAGATCGTACCAACTCTTAATGAATTAAAGCAAATTCTCCCATTATAACTGCCCAAGAGAATAGAGGTTTGCTCAAAACTGAAACTTAGACCCTCTTCCTAGTTGTCCTTAACAAGGTTCAGGATACCCTGAACAACAGTTCAAATTGGGGAAAACCCCATGGATCATGGGGAACCTCCCGTATTGTTCGAAATCTCTTTGTGATCAAACTGACCAAACAAGTTCCTTAGTGTTTTAATAAACTGTGGCAACAGCCCATCTGTCTGTGGATGGTAACCACTAGTCCAGATTGAGTGAACGCCCAGTAATGTAAACAGCTTGCGTATTGTGCGTGAAATAAAGGATCTTGGTTGGTCAACATATCTTTTTGGATCCATAAATAGTATGAAACAGTACCTGCACAAGACTCTTGGCAGGGATAATACGCAGCGGCACCGCCCTGGGATATCACATTGCATTACCTACGAGGAATAATACAAAGCATGTGCACTCCGGTCTAATAACCAGATGAGGTCCATGCCAATTCTCTCAAATGGCATCCAAATCAATGGTAGTGGACCCAAAGGTGGTTTCTGGTGTCCGGTGTGTAAACCAGCCGACATTCAAGACAACATGTGCCTCACTACCTCACATCAGCCTCAAATCCGCCAGCATGCCCAGCCAAAATAATCTGGTAGTGTTTTGTGATATCCTAGATGAGCCACCTGGAAAATAGTTCCCCAAAGGCCATTTTGGCACCAACAACTTTGTGTTTTCGTCTCCTCTCTGAGTGTCACAGCTAACAAACCACATCCCTCCTTCAGAATCCAGCCTACTGCCAAAGACCAGAACCAGGTTTGACAGCATGCTCTTATTGTGTGACTGATTACCTGATTCTGATCAGCTGTCTCTGGCCGAGGCCCTACCATCTGTCCACCAGCAGTCAGGACCCGAATCAAAACCGATGCCAAATTGTTCTCATCATGTAGTCAGGAAAACACTTGTTCTCCCTTAGTATCCCAAATAAAAGTACATTTATAATAGGAAAACGTCTCCCCAATCGACCGTGGCTTTCAAATATTTCTGCTTCCTGTTACCGTTTGATTCTGATGCTGTGGTGTGGGACTGGCTTCCCTTTCTCTTTGGAAATAACTGTAACTATAACTATGAAGCTCTGTGTTGGGTCTGTGCTCTCCATTGATGTTTCAATGGAGAGCACAGACCTTGAAGTATATTTTTCTACCTGAAATCCTGTGTGAAGGAATGCTAAAAAGAAAAATGTAAGAAGTGTGTGAGGAGAACGCACAAGTATTTATCTATTTTCTATTTGTTCCACCTTGTTCTCCACCTTGACTTATTTTCCTGGACTACCTCATATATAGATAAGATGCCCAGCATAAATAACGTTATTTAGTTTGGTTAAAATAAATAGATTGAAGATTTACTGAGATGTGTCGACTCTAGGTCTCCTTGGAAGTGTCGGAAGGAATCCTGAGAACAACTATTCCAGCTAAAGGAGTGCAGATAAACGGTAAGATCTAACTGAATCTGACAAACAAAGGAGCAAACAATATCTGACAATAGTGGATATGTAAGGTATGTACTTAATTTTAGGGCCAGATTAAAAGTAGGATCAAATGCATCATTGCTAAACTCTGTGCATTGTCTAACAGTGAGCAAGTCATACCAGCGCAAACATACTAGTGATTACTACAAACGATTGACCTAAGGACTACTGTCATCTATTAATCAAATCATGCTGTAGTCTCTCAAATATTTGCGTTTGGCTTAGATATTATCTCCATTGCACATGTGGATTTCCATTACACTGATTTGCTTTGCTGTTGTCTTTTTAGAGCCATCTAAAGTAGCCGTAGTGTAAGGCATAGCCATTTAAAATGATCTTTCTTTTCTGTTGTGGAAACAGTGACAGGTAATGGTGAGAGCCGACTGATGGTGGAGTCCAGCAGCCTGGAGGCCCTCAATGAGCTGCTGGCTGATGTGTCCTATACCAGCACTATTTACCACATACACACCGGAGACCTCGGTATGCATCTAAGACATTAAAACTAAACTAGAAAAAGTCTGTCTTTATTTAGAACAAATGTCTTTGCATGAATTAAATTCACAAAATTACAGAAGACCTATTAGAGTAAATGTAATCAAAAAGAATTGCAAAATCATAAAGTTGTCGATGCTTTGTACAGGTTTGTGTCTGTGTGTATTTAATCTAGAGAAATGTGTTTGTGCTTCTGTTCTCAGCAACCTTCCAGTTTGAGGACCATGAAGCTGTGTTTCCCATTACCATCAAACAGCCTCAACCTCCAGTCCTGTACGACATGGGAAAAGGTGGGAGTTCACTCACCGTGGGGATAACACACTCATTTATTTATGGCAGGAAGGAGCTGCTTCTCTTCTTTGTCCAATGATGCTCTTGATCATTGGACAGTGGATCTCATGATGTCTTCATGTGTCTTTTCTTGAAATAACTCTTCTTCTCTATATGTCAGATATCAACTCTCAAGTCACCATCATCACAAAGACGTTCCTGCGCTACCCAGAACTCAATGCGTTGTTGAAAACCATCAGAGAATTCTACAAAGACATTGAAATCATCATTGCAGATGACAGCATAAAACCAGAGAAAATTACAGGACCTCACATCCAACATTTCATCATGCCTCAAGCTAAGGTATACACACACACACACACACACACACACACACACACACACACACACACACACACACACACACACATACACACACACACACACACACACACACACACACACACACACACACACACACACACACACACACACACACACACACACACACACACACACCCCAACAAAAACGTTTACACACTGTAATGTGAGAACAAGCCTAATGCAACTCAAAGAGGCGTAACATCTAAAATGACCAATAAAACACGAATAATGTTTTCCTCCATCAGGGCTGGTTTGCTGGCAGGAACCTGGCGGTCTCCCAGGTCACCACCAAGTACTTCCTGTGGGTGGACGATGACTTCCTGTTTACCAAATTGACCAAAATTGAAGAGCTGGTGAAGGTGATGGAGGCGGTCCCAGAACTGGACGTGGTAAGACTGAAATGGCTCGTTTCTAAAGGGCTCCGCTTGGGTTAAATACTTGTTGTGTCTACTAGCTGTGAAGCATGTGAGACTTTCATCCCCTTTTCCATCGAAGAGGTTCCAGGGCCAGTTTCGGAGACGATGCCCAATTGCCAACCAGTTCTTCCGGCTCTCTGCCCCAATTTACTGGTTGCATTTGGAACCACCAATTTTCTGGGATGGAACCGAGAACTGCATCGAAAGAGATTTATGTCGGAGGCTTGTGTGAGATTTGCCTGAGCAGTAACAGTTCATGGCGAGTACTGCAAAAAAACATTAAAGGTGGGGTAGGTAAGTTTGAGAAACCGGCTCGAGATACACTTTTTGTTATATTCCATGGAATGCTCTTAACATCCCGATAGCAATGAATATCTTAAGTGCTTTGACAAAAAATCCATAAAAAAATATCATCTGTGGAAGCTGTAGTACTGTAAAAAGCACGACCAATCATCTGAGCCGGCCCGGCTAAAATAACTGGATGGCCTACCTGCCTGTCAGCCTTCCATCTGTGCACAAACTTATCTGGTGCCCTCATTGGTCATGTGCGCGTTCGTGTGTGTTGGAGGAGGGGCTCTGTAAGGAAGTGGCAGGTTTTCTCCGGTTGTGTATTTTCAAATTCTAGCGCACTCGAGCTGGTTTCTCAAACTTACCTACCCCACCTTTAAGTTGTAGCAGAAGCAATAGAGCTGAGAACTCAAAGTGACTAGAACATTTATTTATGTCACGCAACATTAACCAGGCGTAGGTAGGACATAGTGATTATTTCCCCCGTTCTTTTTAAGGACCACGTGTTCGCTATCATTGCCCGTATTGAACAGGGCAATTATTTCCCTAAACTTGCGATCTAGTGAAATAAAAAGATAGGCTAAACAAGTTGTAATATTAGGTCGCAAGTAAGATCATAGTGAAAAACATGGCTGTAAATTATACCGGTAGAAAACAGCAAATGCCACAATGATCCGAATCAGAATCAGTTTTATTACCAAGTAGGTCACATACAAGGAATTTAAATTGGTACCTGGCATGACTTCAGTGAGCTGTAAAAAGTGACTGTAAACACTGGGGACAGCTAGTCAGCAGAAGGCTTCAGGGTGGAGGGGGAGCAACTGGTGCTATCCTGGCTCCAAAATGGTGGAATGAGCTCCCCATTGACATCAGGACAGCAGAAAGCTTACACATCTTCCAGCGCAGACTGAAAACTCATCTCTTTCGACTCCACTTTGAGCGATAGAATTGCTATCAAAGCACTTATATACTAACAAAGGACTGGCTTATCTAAAGCCAGTTGAGTAGCACTTGAAATGTTTTGGCTCTATGAAACCTGATGTACTTATATGATTCTGTTTTCTTCAAGTTTGTATCTTCTTGGTCGAATGCACTTATTGTAAGTCGCTTTTGATAAAAGCGGAAGCTAAATGCAATGTAATGTAATGTTTTGAGTTTTTTGAAAAGTCTGTTTACTTCTCTCTCATTAAAAGAGATAGACTTTGATGTATTGGGGGAAGGCAGTGATGTGGGTGAGCAGGTCTCTGATTGGCCGGATGGTTCCAGGGCTGTCACATTGTTCTTAAAAGCGACAGTAGAACTGGTTCAACTGGTATGCAAGGTGTCGGTTGTTCATGGAGGGGGAGGCCTTTGGATTAAAGTCGTTAGCTATGAACTGGTGTTGGAGTTTCTCACAGTACAGTCGTTTATGGCGCATTTCCACCATGGCGCAGAGCGCGGTTTAAGCGTGCGGTGTCGTGCCGTGCCCGTTTTTGGTTGCGCTTCCACTAGGCCTAGGTACGGCCCGGCCCGGCCCGGGGCCACTTTTTCACCTCTTTTCTGGCCCGACAAAATTGTGGTTCTATCGGGGCCAACAAACAGGGCTGAGTCGGGCTGAGTATGCTAAACTAGAGAGAGCGTCGCTGGCAAGGGGGCTACAACTACAACAAGATGGACATATTTGACCGTGATTTAATTGTAATACACGTTTCAAAATGATGCCGAAGTAACAACATACTGATACCGGTTAGTAAAAACCATGAATTAATGCTTTGTCAAGTCTGCAGACAGACGGCAGGCGAAAAACCTTTTAAAATGCGTGTTTTCTAAATGGAGATTGGCTAAGCTAACGCAGTATATGCTCCGACCGTCCACACTCACAACAACGGCCTATACAGACATAAATAAAGCAGCGACTGTACTCGTCATGACACAGGCAGTCTGTGGTGTGTACTTGTTTAACTTTTGTCGAGTTTCTGAACATATATGAGGAGCTGTGAGCTCTGAGTGCTAACAGCTAACGGCTGTGTTGTTTTTCTGGGGTTCTCATTGAAGATGACGTCACGGCTCTGCCTACACTGCGTTACTATAGTAACTACCCCAGTTCCTAAACTGTAATGGAAGTGCAGCATGAAGTGAGCCGGCCCTGTTAAGGCCCAACGTGGCCAAGCAGTACCGAGCGTGGCCGAGGCCGACCGTGTGGTGGAAATGCGCCATAAGTGTCTCTCACCGTTTTACAAAACCTGTACTTTGACTATTTAAAATGTGCCTTATCATCACTCCTAAACGCCTCCTCCTTTTGCAACTTGAGCTGTCTCAGTTTGGCTGTGACCCAGAGCTTGTTGTTGTTGTGACTCATCCTGCTGCGTGTAGGAATACGCCCCAATAATAGCAACCAGTACTAATTCAAAGCATTTATGGTGAATAATAATTCATATGTTGTACGTATACCCAGTTAATGTTCCACGACCTGGGGTTTTATATAATATGTAATGCATTGTTTAACAGAAGTATTATTTGGTTCGTTGTTTTTGTTTTTGAAATCACCATTTCAGAACTGGAGGGGCATGTCTCTCACCATTTGAAAAATGTGATTGATTGATTGATTGATAATGTGTTAACAAGAGCCTATTCCAGCATGTGTTTGGGCAAGAAGCAGGTACACGATGAGCAGGTAGTAAGATTATAAGCAGTTCTCTTGTCTCTCTGTTCCTTTCAGCTTGGCGGTAAAGTAGGAGGAGACCAGTTTTATTTCTCTCTCATCTATGAGGAAGGAGACGAAGTGGAAGGTGGCTGCATGTACAGGAAGTCCAGAGGGAAGTTCCACTCTCTTCCTGGTTACCCACAATGCTCAGTGGTCAGTGGGGTGGTCAACTTCTTCCTGGCTCGTACAGATGCCGTACAGAGGGTGGGATTCGACCCTAAGCTCAAGAGGGTAGCACACTCAGGTATGTCTAGATCAGGGGTCTCCAACCTTTCTTCATCTGTGAGCTACTTTGAAAAAATGAAAGTGGCCAAGAGCTACTTGCATCACATCGCTTACATTTATTCACATAGCACTCATCAGTTGAATTAAGCTACTTTTGTACACGTGTGAAATTGCAATACCTAAAGCTTATCAAAAATCTTAAAGGTCCCATGTCATGCTTTTCTGGTTATTGTTATGTAGGTTTTTCTGCATGTAAACGGTCTGCAGAGTCACAAACCCTCAAAGTGCACCCTGTAGCGAGTACAACTCTAACACAGAAAAGACCTGTCTATGCTGCTCCAGAACGCCTCGTTGGACATTTTTCTTTTTCCATTTTTTTCTTCCGAGTACCAAGTGATGTAAGGGTCTAAGTGACGTAATGGCTACGCGGACTTCCTCGCACACTCACACTCACTCAGCCTTATCTTTTCTCAGCCGCAGCTCCGCGGATTTCTCAGCCTGAACTCAGCCTGAGCACACACACAAACTCACAGCCATGCTATGAGTGTGTGTGTGCTCAGGCTGAGTTCAGGCTGAGTTTCGCTGTGTCTCGCTGTCTCGCAGACCCCTACGCAGCAACCAGGAAATGACCCCAGTAATCCAGCTCACACTGTCCGCTCCAGAAGCAAGCCCCGCAACGTCCCGCCAACACGGCACCCAGACCCCACGCAGCATTCTCATCTGTTTGTCATTACTGGTGTCATTTCCTGGTTGCTAACAATCGCCATTGTAACACATAATCACTGATGTTCCGCTGTAACGGTGGTGGACTCATCAGAACAGAGTGGACGAGCTGACCAATCAGAGCACACTGGGCTCATAGGGAGGGGGGGGGCAGGAGCTCCAACAAGTTGTGTAGGACAGAGAGTGAATACACTTACTATACAGAGATGCTGAATGAGAAACCAATGTGAGTTTGAACATTGAACAATATAAATCTATTCTAGTAGACCTCAACAATGGAATTATGATCAGTAGAAATGGCCATGACATGGGACCTTTAACTTCACATCAAGGTCCAAGAAAACGACAATTTCTCAGATATTATTATGGCCCACATAGTAAGTACATCACTGAAAATGCACATAAATGTCCTTAATCACCACCTCACAAGCATCTTATGGCAGATGTGTAAAATAAGTGCATTCACTCTTTTTTACAGTCAGTGAGATGACTGGCGCTGCATGGAGTCCACCATAGAGGTGTATGCTGGAGTGTACCCACTTAGGTTCACTCTAATAGAGTCATTTAAATGTTCATCACTCAGTCTCGTTCTGTATTTAGATTTCATGACATTCATGTCAGAAAAAGCTGCTTCACAAAGTAAAGCCAAATAAAGCAGACATGTTCAGTGCTGCTTGGTGAATGTTCTTATAGTTTTCTGGGTCTACAAGGCTCCAGAGACTTAAGCTGAACATAATTTTGGAGATTTATAACCTCCATCTCCATCTCCACAGGATTGACACTGAACAGTTCAGCCATCTTTTTCTTCTTCTTCGTCTTGACATGAAATTATAAACCAAAATAAATAAATTGTATAGGTCTAGCCTCCCTATATCTGTGTATGAAATGGTTCCATCCTCAAAAACTAAAAACTAATGCTTCTGCAGTCTAGCTGCAGCTTCTAGCAACGGTCTTCTGTTAAAAAAAAGACACTGAATGTCCTGAATGTGGCATCACACACAGGACTTGAGTCTGAACACAGCAGACAACAGGAGTATTTACAATAGCATATACAAACTAAAATACTGCATGTGGGTGCACACTTACATTCTCTGTCTTACTGTTACATAACTCCCATGAATGTATGAGATTAGGTTAGCTTCATCATATCTCAATCAGTGATTAAGTGAATAATAAAGTTTCTATTGGGTTATCATCATTTATCATTATTTTCAGGGAGGGGGTGGGGTTTGGAGGAACAGAGGAGACGGTGATCGTGGAAGCTGTTTCCCCCTGCCTTCACAAACTTTACACACGTATTTATCAACTGAAAATAGCAAGAGGACATTCATACTCTGCAAGTTGCTGTTGGTGGATAAAGCAGACTGCTCCGTGTGTGGTGTCGCTGTGCCGCTGTGCCGCTGTGCCGTCTGTTCCTTGATCTCTGCGTCACCGACCAATTTGATATTCGTGTGACAGAAACAATTAAAAAATAGAAAAACGTTATTGTCCGGCCGCGGCCGAAAAATCAAGAAGCAACGTTACTACGCTATAATCGATAATCGAGCGGCAAGCTACTGAAAAGCTGCCCGCGAGCTACCGACGTGTTGGAGACCACTGGTCTAGATGGTTTGCAGTCCAAGTGGCAGTAAGTCCACACTCTTTCAGTTGTTGCTGTCCATGATCGTAGTTGGCCTTTTTTCCTAAATGGCAAATGTCTGTCTCTGCCTCTAGAGTTCTTTATGGATGGCCTGGGCTCCTTGATGGTGGCAACATGTGGCCATGTGTCTGTTTCCCATCAGGCCAGACTTAAACACAAGGACACCAAGCTCTACAAAGAGTTCAGATACCCTCCAAAGAGTGATGTGACCTCAAAGCTGCAGCTTCACTTCTTCAAAAATCACCTGAAATGTATACTCTATGGATAGAAGACCACTAGAGGACAATGTTTATCAGTATCCTTTTTTAAATATCAATAGTCTGTATACATATATCAATGATACAAGAAACATTTTCTTTACTTGACATGTTTTGTCCGTGTAGATTAAAGTGTCAGTGATAGCACTACTTTTGTCTTACCTGACTTCAAAGACAAATGAACCGCCACTAAAATGCTTACTTGTTTTTATACTGAATCCTTCACCACAATTTCCCCTGTTTTTTGACTGTACTACCGCATTATCCTGTGTGTCAATTTCCATTTCGATTACTTTGTTTAGCGTCACCAGTATTTATAAACCTTTATGATATGTGTAATATGTAATGTAAAGCGCATTGAGCATTTGGAAAAGTGCTCTAATAAATGTAATGAATTATTATTATGATTATTTATCTTGCCAAAGAAATGTTTTTTAAGCTTCTAAATAAACTGTTCAAAAGTAACCATATGGATTATCAGTATGTGAGTTATTTATCCACCTAATTTGCACCAATGTTTGGAGCTGTGTCAGCTGCTGGTCGACGTATAAAAAGCATGTCGGCAATGTTATTATAACAGTGACTACAAGAGCAGTACAGACAGGTCTGCACTGAAATGCAACCATAGCGTATTAACAGTTATGATATAATTATAAAAAGCCACCAATTTGGAGATAAATAGCTAGTTATAAAGAAAGCTCACGCTAGCTAGCTGGCTAGTTAGATTGCTAATTTCTGCTAGCTAGATGGATCAGAGTGTAATGTTCAAGAGCCAGGTTGTTAAATAGGTAACTCACGTTAGCTAGATAACTAGTTAGATATATAACTAACCCTAGTTAGATAGTTAGCTTTATTTCTAGCTTGTTAGATAGCTTAGATTCCCTCGTTAGCTTGTTAAATAAGTAGCTAACGTTAACTAGCCAGCTTGTGTTACGCCCCTTTCTTTTCAGATGGGGAGAAATGATCACAAGAGTGAAAATGGTGTTTCATCACGATGACATTTACTCAAGTGTTTTGCATCAAATGATAATCAAAATACAAGGTTGACAGGTTTTAGAGCAGTAAATGTCTTCTTTACACGATGCACATTTTCTGAATTTTTGTTCGTTTTCAGGGACACCACAGTATGAGCAATGCTGTTGGGACCATAGACTGTATATATAAATGGACGTAGGGTCCGTGACGTCACCCATAGGATTCTGCAGAGTTGCCGAGAAGCCCTTACTAGGCGGAGTCGGCCACTAACGTCTCGACAGTGACGTCAGAGTCTAACTCCCGCCTGCTCTTAAGTCTTATCTTTCTTACAGTGCAGACGCTTTTCTGCTTGCTCTTGCCTCTGCTTACTTTTTATGCTGATTTTCCTATTCTTATTCTCTGAAAACTTCGAGCAGCGGCTCCTGGACATTAACTTATCACTGGGACAGTTATTCTTCGTAAATAGACGGAGGGTTTCAGCCATATTTCAACATTTTTACAACGACCTCAGTCTTACAGTAGCGTGGCCTAGCAACAGCTAAAGCCTGGTACTGCATGCTATTTAGCTTAAGCTAGTTGGTAGCAAAATGCCTCCATTCTCTACAGATGACTTCCACAAACTTCTACAGAAGATGGCTGTGTTGGAAATGAAAATGCAACGGTTGGAAGTTAACGTGGAAGTGAATGGACTATGTTGTGGGAATAACACCACTTTACCAGTGTTGCAAAATAATGGAAAAGGGTATGCTAACTCACAGCTAGTTAGCAGCTACAAGGTTTCCAAGGAACAGGAGGGCTGTGTACTGGGTAATAAATCTACAAGTGGTAGTCCTCCCTGGAACTCTCTGGGTGCAAAGCCTAAGAGTAAATCATTTCCATGGGATCTGGGAGGACGAATAACAGGCAGAGTCCAGCGCTCTGAAATCTGTGATGCGACCGGCTGGCCTGCATTGTTATCACCCAGGAAGAGTGCCTCTTCAACCCCTATTCATACTAGGAAACAGCCGTGGACAGCTGCTAAAGGGAGAACTACAAACAATCCTCCTAAACCACCAAGTGTGCCAATCCAGAACAGATACGCTCCGCTGACCGAGAACCGGAGATCTCTTTCTGATGACCTGGATAACCTGTCCTCTTCACACAGCAGGGTAAGGACCAATAGCTACTCCAAAAGTAAAAGGCTAGAGGGAAAGCTAACGACTGGGCCTGAAACTCTGATTGTGGGTGACTCTGCTGTAAGAGATGTAAAAGGTCTGTGTAGTAAGAACAACACCAAAGTACTCTGTTTTCCCAAGGATATGGTCTCTGACTTGGCTGAGAAGATCCTGCATATTGGGGCTGAACATCCAACTGTGAAGAATGTGGTACTACATATTGGAACAAATGATGTTGTGAAACAACAGTCAGAAGCGCTGAAAAAATACTTTAAATGTCTGTTGGAAACTGTCAGCTCTCTAAATGCGGAGGTGTTCATCAGTGGCCCTCTACCTCCAGTCAGAAGAGGAGTGGAGAGATTCAGCAGACTGTTTGCATTGAACACGTGGCTTTCCGCTGCCTGCACTGACCATTCTGTCCATTTTATTGACAATTTTAACTTTTTCTGGGATCGCAGACATCTTTTTAAGGCAGATGGAGTTTGCCTGAACAAGTCAGGAGTGAAATTGTTTATCTCTAACATATTCAACTGCCTGCGTCATCAATCTGTTCCCTCTGCCAAGGACAAGCGGCAAGAGGAATCAAAACAGGAGAAAGACACAACACATCGCGCAGAAAACCCTGAAGAAGTATCACTGCACCCGCCTGAGGAATGTTCTGATTATGGGAGACCTATGACACAAATGGAGGAGTCTCCACTGCCCGTCACCCCCCCTGTCAACGCCTTTGAGGATACTCTTCATTCATCCCCCAGCTCTCTCTACTCTCCGCTCACCCTTTCACCCTCGCCCTCCCCCCTGGAGTTCGATGACCGCATGAAGGCAATATGCAGGGTTGGCAGCATGTCCTTTACCCCCGCCCCTCAATGACGCCCACCAAAATCACCGAAGACAAGCCTACGTCAACCACCTCCCCCCCCTGGCAGCATGTCCTTTACCCCCGCCCTTCCACAACGCCCACCAAAATCACCGAAGCAGAGACGTGCACCATCTCCCCCGTCTTCATCACCGTGCCTACGTCAACCACCTCCCCTCCCTTCAAGAAAGCATCTGCAGTCTCCGAAGCCTGATAAGGATGTGTGTGTACAAAACGCAACAAACTCTTACTGATATGTGCTGGGTCCAGGCTCAAGGGCGTATGGCACTCTCAACTCTTTCCAGGACATGCCGGGGCCCTGCCTGCCAGTAACTTTGCCGATATCTGTGTTGATAGGTAATAGATTAAGAGCGGTGAATCAGTTTAGAAACAGGAAGTGCTCAAACGTTTGTGTGAGGTTATCAAATTTAGCAGTGATTCCATGTCAGCCACAGCTTGTCACAAAAAATCTTACTGATAGTGTATTTAAAAAACTTAAACTAGCTTTATTAAATGTCAGGTCTTTGGCAGGAAAAACATTTTTGAATCAATGATTTCATCACTGAGCACAATCTCAATTTTATGTTTTTAACGGAAACTTGGATTGAACAAAATAACAGTGCAGCTGTTCTTATCGAATCAACCCCTCCCAACTTTAGTTTTATGAGTCAGGAAAGAATGCATAAGAAAGGGGGTGGAGTTGCTATTTTGTTCAATGATTCCATTCAATGCAGGAAGGCATCTTATGGGGACTTTGCTTCTTTTGAATATGTGGCCCTTCAGCTGAAATGCTCCTCTCGAGCTCTGTTCCTAAATATCTATAGACCACCCAAATACTGTGCAAGCTTTTTTGATGATTTTACTGGACTGCTGTCTATAGTGTGTATTGACTTTGACCGTCTAGTCATTGTTGGTGATTTTAACATCTATGTTGACAACCCCCAGGACAGAGGGGCTAAAGAACTGTTTTGTGTTCTTGATAACTATGGACTGACTCAGCATGTGGCGGAGCCCACGCACAATAAGGGGCACACTATGGACTTAATTATCTCAAAGGGTCTGAATATCTCAAAGGTTGTGGTGACTGATGTTGCACTCTCTGATCATTCCTGTGTTTTCTTTGAGAGCTCTATTTCTGTTCACAAAAATGTTCAGAAAGAGGTAACCACAAAGCGATATTGAACTGAAAACACTAGGGAAATGTTTACTCATAATTTTTCATCCACACTTGCCCCTGCTAACATCTCAGTAAATGAGCTAGTAGATCATTTTAATTCAAAAATTCAAAATGTTATAGATGCCATTGCTCCAACTAAGGTAAAGGAAGTGACTGGCAAGAAAATATCTCCATGGAGAAAGGCCATGACCGTTAGAACAGAAAAAAGAGAGTGTCGAAAAGCTGAACGTAGGTGGCGAAAAACAAATCTCCAGGTTCACTTTGAAATCTACAAAGAGAGACTTGGCCTTTATAATTCGGAATTGAAAAACGCACGACAGTCTTTCTTCTCTGACATCATTACCAAAAACAAAAACAATGCACGTGCCTTGTTTGCTACCGTCGACAGACTAACTAACCCCCCAGTGTCAGTAGCCTCTGAATTTCTATCCACCAGGGCATGCAATGACTTTGCCTCCTTCTTCACTGACAACATTCAGAAAATTATACAAGCAGTCAGTGCCTCTACATCAGGTACAGCAAATGTGTTGTCCCTATGTCCACCTAATATCAATTCAAACACTATGACACAATTCCATCAGATTAATGATAAAAACTTAGAGGACATTATTCAACTTCTGAAATCCTCCTCCTGCTGCCTTGATATTATTCCAACAGGATTTTTCAAAGATGTTTTTCCTTGCATGGCCTCAGATCTACTTCATATAGTAAACACATCTCTTCACTCAGGTATTTTTCCAGAGGCCCTGAAAACTGCAGTCATTAAACCGCTCTTAAAAAAGAATAATCTAGATGCCTCAGTAATGAACAATTACAGGCCCATATCAAACCTGCCATTTCGAGGTAAAATCATTGAAAAAGTAGTTTTTCAACAGTTGAGTAACTTCTTGCATTTAAATAACTCTTTGGATGTGTTCCAGTCAGGATTTCGTCCAAACCACAGCACTGAGACTGCTCTTGTAAAGGTCTTCAATGACATCCACTTAAACACAGACAGTGGCAGAACTTCAGTGTTAGTATTATTAGATCTCAGTGCTGCGTTTGACACTGTTGACCACAACATATTACTAGACCGAGTAACATCTACATGCTACCACTGGCTCAGATAATGAAAAACAACAAAATAAGTTACCATAGCTATGCGGATGACACACAAATTTACGTAACAATTTCACCAGGAGACTATGCTCAAATTCAAACACTGAGTAAGTGCATTGAACAAATCAATGACTGGATGTGTCAGAACTTTCTCCAATTAAACAAAGATAAAACTGAGGTAATGGTTTTTGGAGCCAAGGCAGAA